TAACGGGCTAAAAAATGAAACTAACAGCAAAATTAATGGAAATCTTATTAATGTAACATGGAAAAGTTGAAAAGTCCCTAGAAACGACAGGCAATTTTGTGAAAGCAACTGGTGAAAATCGCCTGTTGTCTGCTGCTAATGAAACCCCTGCTCAATCTTCAGATAGACTGTATATACATTTATAAATGTTTCACATTCCAGGTGTGTTTACTGCACTTAACTGTACCCTAACAGACTAGATTTGAGTAGAAATAATCTTGATTTTCATCATTAAATATTCAAAATTCAGTCAAAGTGATATTATATTTGAAATCTACATGTAAAATCACATCTATAAATGTGATTTCAAAAATTGTTCATCAAGTTTGAAAATTTAATTTTCTTTGAAAATGTGACTTCTTACATTGAGGAGATTCCCCATATAATCACAAAAAGTGAAATATCTTTCTTTTTATTGGACAGATAATATTTTGTTTATTGGACATGTTTTAATTTGTATAACTATAAGAGACATTAGGATAATATGATAATTGATCCACTAGAATTGATGAATATTCAAGTTTAAGAGAACTTTGTAGTACTCCATTTTATCTGACCAAAATCAACCACCTGGTGGTGAAACTGGTAACTAGCTTCTGGCATCTGGGTTATAAGATGTGCCACCAATGTAATGATGTAAATAATTAAATGTCTTGTTAATATCATTAATTAATAAATCAATGTTTTTAATTAAATTTATTGTAATTATCAAATAGCTGTTCTGTTCCTTCTTTTACACAACTCTGACCACTGAGCAGTAACTACTAGCACTAGCACTAGCACTTTACAGCCAACTGGTTAAATGAGCCAATATAAAATGTCAATTCTGGTAGGAAACACTGATAAATGTAATTTTATATCTCCTGCTATCAGATTGTTTTATCTAAACCAGCAGGATCTTCAGAAATAGTTAAAAATTGGCTGAGACTAAATTTGGCGGTTTCTGTCCGGTGGCATTCCTAGATCCAGTCAGTTCTCTTTACTTATATTTTCAAATCCTTTTTAATGAGAAACGCTAGAAACTTTTTAGAAGCCTTGATTTAAAATGTTGTCAAAAGTTATAATAGAAAAAACAATCTTTCAGATGAAAGGACATCTGCACTGTTTTCAATAACTTCATATTAGATCATCAATGGCGTCTTCAACACAAAACTATGAATGAAAAAGCCATTTCATGGGATTGTTTATTTTGTCAAAATCGAAGCAGATTTCAAGTTAGAAAAATAAATTGTGCTTTATTGCTATTTCTTAGTAAAATATAACTTGTTCCGGCCAGTTCCCAAAAGTAAACAATATTATCAAAATCCCTGTTTACAATTTATATGAAAGTATAGTTGAAATGTATCAAGTTTTAAATCTCAATCAAATGATAAAAAACTGTCTACTCGATATCATCAAACAATAAAAATGTCAAATATTTTCTCAGAAGTTTTCAAACTATGAATCTATTCAGTTCGTTCACAGCTCCCTAGTAACCTTTATTTAGATCTTTCCTAGTCTAGTACTATATCATTTTTCTATTATGATGAACATGCTAAGACGGACTGCATGCTGTTGCGCCATACACATTAGCTGTGGAAGTATCATCTTGATTCACAAGGTTTCGATTGTTCCTGTCACACCTTGATAAATCTGCCCGATTTAACCGACCACTGTGTAAATAAACCCCACAAAAATAAATCATTGGTCACTAAGGGTCACATCAGCACCAAGGACCTTAAATGACCAAATATCTAGATGTTGACCTTTGTCTCAGGAATGACTTTGGCCTCAGATCAATGAATCATGGGTTGCCAGGGGTCACAACAGCCCCATTAAAATGTCAAATAACTTTGACCTTAGAATGACCTTGACCCATTAAGTTAACCTTGACCACAGGTCACTTAATCATGGGTCGTCAAGTGTCACAGCACAGACCAAGGGTTTTAAAAGGCCAAACACCTGGATATTGACTTTTAACCATGCCAATCGACCTACTTAGTATGTTGACCAAGTATGAGGACCCAAGGTCAAATGGTCTAGGAGATGTCCATGTATGTCCATGCTAGGAGGAGATGTCCAGACAAACAGAATGAAAGATAGACCACCATGCTTTATAGTAAGAAAATGCAACAAAAAGCCAAAGACTATAATTTAAATCCAATACTAAGTACCTAATGAAGCTCATTTTCACATTTTTTAAGTTTCTTATAAAAATGTAAACTGCATATAATAGCTCACACATACTTATGCATGTATAATAGAAATCTAGAACACTTAAGTTTAGACTGGCAATGAATCCAAGACACATACCACCTACTATAGTAATTATAGACATGTGTCAAGATAACTGCTGGCATGCCTCAAGGGTAATTTGTCAGATTTGAAAGAGATCCAAGGGATGTATAGAAGACTATGTTGACATAATGTTGACTAGAATGTTCAGAGAAATAGAGAGAAAGTTTAAACATAGAAGGTTCTTGAGATAACTACGCTCATGACATAAATCAAAGTTGTTTTTTTCTTCTAACTAATTACCAAGCGATGAAGTGTTCCCAATATCTCCCATCTCTCTATGCCAGACAGCATGTTCCCTGTATAGTAACATTTCTGAAGTTAAAACCAGATGTCAGACACTGACCTTGTAAATCTCAACAATTGAAAAAATAGTACTGTGGGTACTCGGCTCACATGGGAAGGTTTCAATATTAAAAATATAGTTACTTGTACAATTTCAAGCAAATTGATGGAAGACTTGCAGGTTATGAACAAAAATAGAGCTGAAAACCTGATTTTTCCGTAAAAAAAGTTGGGCCATTGAGGTACATGTAGCTTTATGCATGATTGTTCACAATAAAAGTAGTGGCCATTTTGAATCTCTGTTACATATTTTGTTGAAACTTGTACACATTATTGATGACCTATAAATTACGATACCTGTTTAATTCCATGCAAATTGATGAAATATTTGTGGTGTTATGACAAAGAGCTGAAAACCTAATTTTAGCTATAAATAATAATAATTTATGCAAATTATTTTGCTGAAACGTGTAGACATTATTGATAACTTATAAAAAAAATTAAGATAGCTGTACAATTTCAAGCAAACTGATATAATAATACTGAAGATCAAGATAAGTAAAAGAAAATACCATCTTGGACATTGCTAATAGAATACTTATGGAGTTATATCAAATAGAGCTGAAAACGGCCATATTGAATTTATGCAACTTATTTTGCCCAAACTGGTAGACATTATTGATAACCTCTAAATTAAGATACTTGTACAATTTCAAGCAAATTGGTAGAACACTTGCCGAGGTGTTTGTTGAACAAAAAAGAGCGTAAAACCTGATTTTTCCGTAATAAAAATGGCCGCCACTTTGAAACTAGGCAAACTCTTGAGATGCCACTTATGAGACAATTGACAACATTACATAGAAACATTTTAAAAGTGGAACCATCTGGATTGTCGTGGCAGATTTCGAATTCGCTACCAATATGTTGACAGACAGACAAACAGATGTCATAAGTGGGCGATAACAATAGCTCACCATTTGAGCTAAAAAAACTAGTTTGTTCAAAATCAATCAAAATACAGTTGCACAACATTAAGAACTGACGTTATTAGAAAGTAGCATGTTTTATATGGGGATTATATGTACTTTACTTGTTTACATGGACGTAAATCATTACATGAAATCAGCAGTCTTCCGGGTTTTATCTGGGTTTGTATTGTCTTATTGGGGCTTCTCGACTTTAAAACAAACCTAACCTAAATGAATTTGTGTCTCGGGAACATTTTTGTAAAGGATATCACATATTTTTGTCTTGCCGATTTCAGTCATGAATTACATCAATTTCGCATGCAAACATTGGGTAGACGTAGTCATTACCGGATGCCCAAACGTGTCAGGAATCAGGAACACATAGATACTCGAATGATGTTGATTGGACATCAGGGGGAGCAACTTGATTAACATACCAGGCCTGTAGCCAGGGAGGAGCTTGACTGGCCAAGAATTCTCAAAATCATGCAATTTTTCACCATTTTGAGCATTTTCAAGTGATTTGGGCCAAAATTTGAACCACGCCTGGAAATTTTTAAAAACTGAACTGCCCTGGCAAATGCTAGCTGGGGGCCTGCTTACTAAATTCAAAACAAAACTAACAGTTACTTGGAATTAACAAAATCCTGACCCAAATAATTATTTCACCTTCAAAATTTAGGCACACAACATTTACTCTTACCCATGCACAAAATGTTTTATTGCTAATGGCCAAGCACAAATCAAATGGTCTTCTCCTTATTAATGTAAAATCCATAGCTAGTTATCACCGTATAAGACACTATAAACGCTGGGCTTGATGATTAATGCATACATAAGAATTATGAACTGAGAGGTTTTAAATACAGGGCTTATCTTGAGGAAGATACACATATTTCTTGAGGGACAGATCAGTAACTACCAGATCCTACTTAGGTTCTAGGTTGATAGCACACTCTACACTATTTTTGCTAAAGTGGAAGAACTGGAAACAGATATTTCTGTATTATCCTAGTCCTTAAATACATATTTCGACATGTTAACTTCCTAGAACCTCAGCATTAATGAAGTACATATATGAGCCTGGCCATAGGAAAACCAATCTTATCACAAAAATTAAAATTGTGCTACAGAGCCAAATTAAAATCCAACTTTTTGGTCTATATATGCAAGGAAAAATCGTTAAGACATAAGTCATGTCTAATTTGAAAGGTCTTTTTGTGCTTTTTAAGATAAACAAAAATCAAAATATTGAAAAATCTTTGATAAGACCCCTTTTCCTGTGGCCTGGCTCATATATCAACAGAGTGCATCACATAGCCATACACTACACTCAATCGATGCTCTAATAAGCCCCTTCCTCTCAAAAAGGTTAGACGAAGGGGTGGAGTGAAGGGGCGGATGACTGAAATTAATTCACAAAATCAAGTTTACCTCTTTCGATTGGTTATTCTGTACTGCAACTGTGGAACTGAAGGCCCGTACACTTATAAACTGGTTATCCGTGAAATCTAACTGATGTAAAACTTTTTGGTCTTTGCTTTGGCTTAACTGAAAACATAAATATTACGATTGAGAAATTATCTTTTAAACCTATGAAATGCTTAGAAATGTCAAGAGTAAATAAGTTAGACTTTATGGATATCATTTGGTTTTCCAATGAATGACATTTCACAGTTGCCAGTGACATCTTTTAAACCAGTCAATATTTCAAATATAACGATAGCTGGAATCTTGATTCATATTTCAAGATGAAGTTAATACGAGGTTTTAACATGCAAAATGTCACCACCTGCCATTTGTTACAGATGCAGACCGCGAACCACAAAAAGTTGGAGATTATACCAATATTACCTTAACAAACAAATGAGAGACCATGTCAATATTCTGGTGTTGTCACATTTGTTACTTACCATTTTCTCATTAGCTAGTATCTGTATTTGTTCTGGAGCATATCCCATGGTGGTGGCTATCTTCTGACGCACTGAGCCTAGCCTCTCATTAGTGTGAGCCTACAAGTGTGGACAACGATCATAATGATCTTAGCATTTATCTTTTTGTCAAATTTGTTACATAAATCTACACTTAATATTTTCTGTATTTCAAAGAAAATATGCAGTAAACAAGTTTTAGTTTCTGTGCCTTGAATGGTCTAGGAAGTATCCATTTGAGATCAACCTGGAAAATAAAAGCATCTACTTACGACTTGTGAGAAATCTGTCTTGGGTGATTCACATGAAATGTAGAGTGTGATTGGTTGACCCTGAAATGATGTACCATGTGGAAGAATCGTACGCTGGGTAGTGTGGGTGTCCTCTACTGTCATGATGTATCGCTCAGCAATCAACAAAAGACGCTCTATGTTCAACAGCTTGGCAGACCTGTGAGGATCATAATGTAACATGGCATTATTAATTTCAAATACACATACATGGGAAAAACTTAAATCCACTCTAATCTATGATTACAATTTAGTCAATACAATTCCCCGACACATCATTAATGTTAAAGGCAGAATCAGTTCTATAGGGGTGTCAAAATTACAAGCAACACGTACAGTTGACCTACCAATATATTCCTTACAATCTCAAATAATATATTCAGGATTCAAAGTGCAAAAATGGAAAAAATGTCAAAATTCTCCGAAATAAAGTATACATGTACACTGGGGATATTTAGGGAATAGACATGACAAAGTATAATATAATATGAGCCAAAAATATTCTAAAATTGAAGTTATCGTTGTCATTTCTACCACTTCTACTACATCTGATACAGCCTTTAAAAATCCTGAGGTATCATATCCAGAGTTCTATTAATAGACACATTGTATGTTCAAATAGCTCACTCAGCTAAAATTACCAATGTTTGAATTTAAATAGAAACTCAGTCAGGTTTGATGAGTTCAATATTCTGTTAAGGCAAGTGGTCTTACTTGGATGGAGAGGGTACACTAGCAACCTCAGGTACAGTGGGAGCAGTAATGATCCTGGTTGCAAAAGCAATAGTCTGAGCAATAGCTGTCCCACCCATTGTAATCATGGCAGCCTCTAGGCGTGAATAACACTCTTTGGTAAACTTCTTATGCAGACCTACTGGATCCTGAAAAATTAAGGTATTAGCTTGAAATCTTTATTACAACATTGAAGAATTTTGAATTCAAAATAATTTGCATGTTTCTGAAGACCTATTCAACGCTATGTTTTGTTGAATAAAGCAATTTTTGCTTGGCATAGTGAAATGTAATGATAATATGAAGATAACTGTAGTTTTCTTTTATGCAACAGTCAATTATGTCATACGGGTAGTTAAGTGTAAAATGTCTTGCAATATTTACATGATTGTTATTCCATACACAATAAATCTAGTTCTTTCCAATCTTTCTGAAGTTCCCCCACTATTTCTTCATCTAGGTTCAAAATTCTATATGTCCAGACCTTACAAAAATACTCTAAACTGTCAAAATATCTCAACTTTCATGGTTATCCAAATCTCAAAAAGGCAATTGGGGGGTCAAATTCTTTAAAATCATGCAGTATCTTTCAAGTGATTTTGGGCCAAAATTGTCAAATGTGAACCCCCCAGAATTTTTTGAAGTGAACCACCTTGACTCAAGACTTACTTTTTTCAGTTTAGCGTTGAGTTCAGTATAGGACATTTTAAGTAGGAGTTTGATTGCCATCCAAGCTATCTCAGTATCTGATGTGTTTAGGCAAACCTCCCACAGGTAATCGATCCCTTTCAAATCCATCTTTTCAACTATCTAAAAAGCAAGAAGGGCAACATATAACAAGGCATTAATACAAAATATCATCACCTGCCATTTGTAAGATGCCGAACACCAACCACTGGCTCAAAAAAATCAGAAACCATAACACCACGTGGGGGTGACATAATAAATTAAACATTCACTCAATTTGGGGTTGCTTAAATATATAAAATACTGGGGTATGACCATCAAGATATAAAATATTGTGAATGTAGATTAGGCCACTATTTGTAAGTTTCAGTTGTCTCTTTGAATGGTATATACATTAATACAATATAATGAAGATTTTTATTGGAATCACATTACACACACACACAATAGAGATGGGCACCTACCATTGTACTTCCAGACTTCCGCAATTTCTGGTCATACAAGTTGACTTGTTCAAAGAAATTCTTGAAGCAGTAAAACCCTGAAATTGAATATGTGTATATATATTAGGCCATAAGGAGTAGATTCTTTGTTTTGTGTCCCCTTGCTAAGGCTTGCTTGCACGATTTTCAGTAAATCAGAAAAAACAAACACATCCAAATAGCAATCACAAGGGTCTGAAAGTACCATCGCATTTCGTTCAATCAGAATCAGACGAAATGGTGGATAATTTGATGTGTGTCAAAATTGACAGTGTTATTGATTACTTTGACATACATTGTGTTCTTCCTTATTTTTTATTCTTGAATAATAGCTCTACGTTTAAATATATTGTATAAAATGTATAGATATGTGTTTGTAGATCTAATCACTACAAATTGGTATGTCATCCCTTTTTATGCCATTGAAATGTATACATTTCTCAGCAAACAAGTTTTTGTATTTTCTTGAGCTTGTGATTGTTTTCTTTGTACCATTGCATGATTCGGATTTTGTCAGGATGCAAAACAAAGAATCTACTTTTTATGGCCTTAGTAAAATTACCACTTAAAAACTACCTTGTTTTCGGTCATGAGCACAAATCTTTTGAACTTTGGACTACATAATGGGCTTTTGTTACTCTAGACTCTGCCACTAACAAAATGCAATCTTTTACTATTTCTTGATGTGTGAATATTCAGACAATATGAAGCACTATACAATTTTACAGTTAAATTAATTACCTTTCACACTAATTTTTGTAGGATCAAGCCTTAAGATTTCCTTCTCGAAGAGGTTAGCCTGTGTGTCTGCCTCCAGATCAGATATTCCTCTTGTGAACCATTCAAAGCAAGTCTGAAAATCAAGAATACTTTGTTTAGACTATTATTATTGCTGTATAGGGGATGTTAAAACACATGTTGCTGAATAGGTAATGTTAAAAGCATGGTGCTAGGTAATGTGTGCTGTATAGGTGATGTTAAAAGCATGGTGCTAGGTAATGTATGCTGTATAGGTGATGTTAAAAGCATGGTGCTAGGTAATGTGTGCTGTATAGGTGATGTTAAAAGCATGGTGGTAGGTAATGTGTGCTGTATAGGTGATGTTAAAAGCATGGTGCTAGGTAATGTGTGCTGTGTAGGTGATGTTAAAAGCATGGTGCTAGGTAATGTGTGCTGTATAGGTGATGTTAAAAGCATGGTGGTAGGTAATGTGTGCTGCTGTATAGGTAATGTTAAAAGCATGGTGCTAGGTAATGTGTGCTGTATAGGTAATGTTAAAAGCATGGTGCTAGGTAATGTGTGCTGTATAGGTGATGTTAAAAGCATGGTGATGTATAGGTAATGTTAAAAGCATGGTGCTAGGTAATGTATGCTGTATAGGTGATGTTAAAAGCATGGTGCTGTATAGGTAATGTTAAAAGCATGGTGCTAGGTAATGTGTGGTGTATAGGTGATGTTAAAAGCATGGTGTTAGGTAATGTGTGCTGTATAGGTGATGTTAAAAGCATTGTGCTGTATAGGTAATGTTAAAAGCATGGTGCTGTATAGGTAATGTTAAAAGCATGGTGCTGTATAGGTAATGTTAAAAGCATGGTGCATTGGTGATGTAGGTGTGTGTAGGTAATAATAAAAAAAAATGGTGCTGTATGTACAGAGTACAATGAAGTTTACAGGATACAATACAAATGCAATGTAATGAGTTTAGAAGTTAAGCTTGTCTGATGGAGTAATGTTATAATACAAATTTAATCAACGTAATGTATCCTATCAATAAACCTAAACCCTTAATATACTTCCCATTTATCACCTTACCAACAAATGTATGATTGGCCAGGTCATTATTTTAAATATTGTCCCAAAAAGTAAGAATCATTAGCAATTCAGATTGAACCTTTCCCTCCAAAAACAGAACCAAATGATTTTTTAATGATACAATAAAATTACTAAACTTAACCTTCTCCCCTCCCCAAGTGATTGTGTTATTGAGTTTGCGGGATACATCAATATATTGACTTTGACGCTAAGTTAAAGCAAGTGGAAGTATTTATTTCGCTTAGAATGTCTTTCTTTTCCTGTAAAACAATCACTGATTAGATACTTTACTTCCCACCTGTGTAGCATCACATAATCATATCAAATACCAATTATTCTGTACACTCTTCAGCAAATGGTACCCTACAAGATCTAAATAGAAATTGCTTTTTTCTGCTGCATTGTGCCTTTTTCTGCCAGGATTGATTTATTTTTCTAAACACCTGTTTTGTCTGAACACTTCTCAATGTGAAACTTATATGAACACCTATTTATCACAAAAGAACACCTGATAATGAACAGTTTAAACTATTTAATATGAACACTCTTTTCCTTCTAAGACAAGGAGAAACATCTGAGATGCATCTCAATAGTTTGATTTGTTCCCTGGCAGAGCATCTCACCCTCCAAGTGGAACAAATTGAAAGATATGATACACACATGCCATCTTCAATAACTTTAACTTCTCCGACAACCTAGAGGTAAACAAACCAACAGGTAAACCCAATAATGGGTCCAGACATTTTAGTCATGGCTGTGATGGCATATATGCAATGTTTATGTGAGAGAGTCAGTTGGTTTATAGCTCAAGTGATAGAGCATCTGACATGTAATCGGGAGGTTGTGGGTTCGATTCCCATCGAGGTGGAGTGATCACATGAGCCCTTAGCAGAGGATTGGATCCTATGTTTCAGAATAACCATTAACCAATTTACTTAAAATTGAAAATTTTTAGATTTCATTTTAAAAATGTAAATAACTATCAATCTTTACAAACCCAGATTTTTTTAAAATACGAATTATTTAGTATCCAATTTACCAGGTAACATTAACACATACCTGCTATATTGCGTGCATTCAATATTAGAAACACTAATATTATTAATAGAACTTATGATACAACTGCACTCTGACATTTTAGGTCTACTTGACGATCAAAATCAGACAGGTACAGTATTCATTTATTTATCATGAAAAGGGTGGTACACCAATACAGGGTGCTCTTCCAAAATTATACATAAAATACAAAGGTATTAAAGGGATTTCCCAAATATTGCCTGACTTATTTCATTATATTATCATTAGACTTATTTATTGTTACTAGTCCAGTCACACCCACCTGGAGCAAGGTAGAATCAATGATATCTCGGACATGATGAACATTACAAATGGGACATAAGGAATAAAGAACCCTGTATCATTCTTCATATCATGATCAGAGCAATATCGGGTATATAATAGTAATATATTTGGGACAGGGATGATATCATGTTTGATATCAGGATTACAGGAATGATATCAGGGATGATATCGATATCATCCTGGGAAAATTCAAAGATTTTATATTTTTTCAAAAAAATCATTTTTCAAAAAAATTTCATTTTTCAAAATAAGTTTTATGTTTTTCATTTTCCTTAAATTCCCAATGCATGTTAGGGCGGCATAATATGTAACCCTAATATTTCTAAGAGTCAAACATTTTTTCTCTCATTCACAGAGGACCTTAGGTAGATATTGCTCTTGACCATGGTATAAGGTCATTATTCACCTGTTGGGGTGATATGAGGAATATCCCTAGGATGATATCGATATTTCATCCTTGTGATATTCCCCATATCAAATCCCTCCTGGTGAATAACTTCTTTTCATTGGATATTTGTGCATATACTACCCATACACATAATGCACGGAAGAGGACCCGGGGTTCATAATCAGGATGAATTAGTACACGCATGAATGCTTTTAATCCAATAAAGAATGATAAATGAAATTCGAATATACTATCACTCCTTTATAAAAAAATTGATATTGTAATTATGGCACTGGTCAATTCATTATGGAACCATAATGCAAATTTGAATTTGGTTTAAAGGCCATTTGCTTCTTTGATTTCCAAGATGGTATACAGAGATGTTGGAAAAGCTAAAACACCATGAATCAAGATGGGCCAATTGAAGTAATGGTGGGAAATATTTTGATTAATAGCTACTAATTGATTACTTTGATATGGCATTTGGACAAATTTTGGTATGGGTGAATTTTTGTATTTGTTGATGTATGGATTTCTACTTCTAGTCGGGACTTACACATTATTATCATCCGTGTAAAACAGATAAAGTTTATAAATAATTATCTTTCCAATGATTGATTGATTTTTGCGATTTCTGAATTTCTTACTGTTGGTGTACAATCAGATTTCTTGGAACATTTCATTTTCTGTCATCAATAGTTGCTACATAACACTCATGTCTGGCCAGAAAAAATTATAGAATAAAATATTAAAGCCTTACATGTAGGGAGTTCCAGATATGACAAAGATTAATTTTAGGCGGTTTTACCCATAGCAAAAAGTTTCATAAACACCTACTGTATTAATGTAAGGCAATCAATATACGATATTATATTTTTGCCCAAACATACATATAATGAAAAGCTATCACATAAATAGTCTAAGAGTGTCGTTACATAAAACATTGACATTGTATAAAGCCATGATAATCGGTCTTGTGGTCATTAAGTAATAATTATATATTCACATTTCATCAAAATCCTCTATCAAGCAAATAGAAAATCCCAGGAGATGAATTCGTAATAGCCAATCGGAATGTGTTAAACTACTCCCAGGGTTATTCCTATTAGACAGGATCTCAGCGCACGAAGGAAACAGTCTTTTAATACTTTCCTGCGTAGAGACAAGGATGACAAGCACTTAATATTATCTTGGAAAGACATCTTAGAATTAAGGTAAAGATTAATTGTGCTTGCATTAAAGAAATAGTTACAGAAAGTTTGTATTTATCTGGTTAAGCAGGTATTTATCATAATAACTATATAATAATCAATTTGATCTGTTCTCAAATGACATAGATCAAAAAGAAACTGCCATTCTTTAATACGTAAAATTTTTTTTTGTCCTAAAAATAATAAAATAATCATAATATATATTTTATAAAACATAATAATATTTTTGTTTTTAGAGATGTTATCATTGATATACATGTACTTACAAAAGTAAGTCATGGAAATCTCTAAAATTGCTATATCTTATTTTCACTAAATGGCAGTGTCTAAATACTTTTATTATTGTTAGAGCTGTTATTACCCCTCATAACTAAGATTACCTCTAACAAAAGAGGAATTAAAGATTGATTATGCTTAATGCTCATCTTGTACAGGGTGACACAAAAATGCGACTCTCTTCTAAAGGACGATTCTCGGTTTGGAGAACAGTCTCCTGGGCTACTAATATTTTTCATGAAAAATATAGAAATATTACCCAAATTAAACTATGAATATTCAAAAGAGGACATTTAAATCTACAAGATGTAAAAATAACAAATTGGTCTGAAGCAGGGATATTATGCTCAATTAGACCAATTCAATAAAATACAAGTCTCGATTTGGGGAAAGAAGTTCATCAGTGTACTGCGCTAATATTTTTTTGCGAAAAATCTAAAAATATTACCCAAATTAAATTATGACTATTCAAAAGAAGACATTCAAACCTATATTATGTAAAAAAAATCAAATTTGTCCAAAGCGGGGATAATGCTCATTTAGATTGATGAACTTCGTTCTCCAAACCGAGAATCGTCCTTTGGAATAACTTTGAAAATATTACATCAGATTGTGAGTAGATATAAGTTCAGAAATCAGTTTTTGTCTATTTTCCAAATAAGAGGGTTAATCTATTACATAATTTCCAATCTTACACCATAACAGTGAGTAGCTAGCTAGAATATATCATTCAGAGAAGCAGCTAGTGTATGCAGGAGTCACAATTACAATCAGGAAGATGTTATTTTTAGCTTAGACTTTCAA